TATTGAATCAAACGTATACCAATTACGGAATAATCTGGGGTTCCATTAGTAGTTCATCGAGTAAAAGCCATGAATCTCAGTTCATAACAAACCTTTCATACTATCACGTTTTCATGAGGTCGAATAGGATGCCTAGTGTGTTCCATCAGTACGATAAAACCATAATAGGTACACTAATCAAATGATAGTCCAGTAATAAGATCTTATTGAAGAGAATCGATTTCTAACTGATCTAATCAGACATTTCAGATTGATACTTTAGAATTCTACTAAGTTTCCATGTGCATCAGGAAAACTTTCAGGAACCTTTATACTTAATAATTCTAAATTCATATTTACTACGAGTGATTCCGTTACCCAAACAATCAGAGGTATTCAGGAATATACTTTGAATTCATAGGATTTCAGCCCAATTGAACCAAATGAGGTATTCAAAATCTTTTCCTTCTACGTTACTTGCGTTTTCAAACATGACCGAAGTGATTTTAGATGAAAATATAGAATCAAAGATTCAAGTCATTTACAATCTATGACTATCAATCGTATTATCAACAACTCGAGTTACACAACTCTCAAACTGATGCATGTAAACAAGTCAATTCATTATCCTTCAAGTGTATTCACTCTTTAATACCATAATGTAGATCCATAGATCACCTATTTAATCCTCAATCATTGAGGTTACTCAGTTCGTTTAGTAGTCAAGTCTATCCCGATTACTTCAAAGCTTTCCATATAATCCAGACGTTTCTGAATTTCAGATACATATTGTACTTCAGTTCAATTTAATTTGGTCTTCGTGGTTGATTTGTCGAACAAATATCCAATTCTTAGTGCTGAATGCGATCTAGAGTTGAGCTAAGCTGAATACTTCCAAAATTATTATCGAGCCAAACTTGAGTAGACAAACACGCATTCAAGTAATATTTATGTCGTTCAGGTACTGATATACCATTAAGGTTGATCAACTCACTTAAGCTGTGTTCCATAACTTTTAAAGGTAGTCCAACGCCTATGCTTATTTGGATTCCTTAATTAATCCAAGGCATTTACTTAGAATAGGACACAAGGGTATTTTGGTAATTTTGGTGTTCATTTTTATTCCATTTATTTTAAAGCTTGAAGATATCCAATCATTCTTGAGCTTGGTGATATTCTTGGGTCATTTCCATTACAGGGGTATTTTGGTTATTTTACAGATTCAGCGTATTTCAATCATTTCCTTCCGTCCGATCTTACTATTAAATTCAATCTTATCATTTATTTCAGTCCTTTCGAATAATTATGACAATAGAACACCCCGACAAATTATTCTTCAGGTATTTACTCATAACTCAGATATTTCTGGGTCAAGTGTCTTCTCAGATTTTACAAACGGAAAATCAGGCATTTTCCTAAACTAAGTCAGGATCTTAACAATCAAATTCGTACTTAATCGAGTTAAGTATGAATCCTCAAAGTATTTTCTCATTCAGGGTTAACTAGGACTATTTTACCTCTCAAGGGAATTTCCGTAATTTCTTAACCAGATAATTTCAATATTAGCTCTTAACGAAAATAATTATAATTTAGAGATCCTATGATCAATTGCTTTCCCGAACTTTCTCTTATCTTGAAATGATTCCTTAATAGAATTCTAATATCTTGCACAAACCCTCTAGGGATTAAAAACCGGTTATCCGTATTTCGTAATCAAAATCTAGTATTTCTTAAGCACATCTGTAGTTTTATCATATCAATATATCCTTTCAGAGTTATTAATCAACTTCCAGGGGCAATTCTTGACATCTTACAACTTAAGGGTATTTTCATAATTTTACCCTACCGGAGTATTATCATAATTTCCCATCCAAGTACCTTTAACATTTAACCTTTGATGAAATAAACTATAAGTTACAAATCCATGTTGATTTCTTTATCACTAAGCACAAAACTTGTAATTTAATTCTAACAATCCCTCAATTTCTTATAAAAATCATTTGAACCATAATTAATTACTGAACCCTTTTACCGTATTCAGATCGAGTGTAGAAACTAATTAACTACACAAATGAGACCAACATTATCTTAATCATGCATTTACCAATATTCACATGTTCCATAAAGCATAAAGAGGTAGTAAAGTATTACCTCGATTTCTGTGCAATACTGATCGACCATAAAATTCCATTCGAACGCCTTTGATCTTCAATTCAACTTCCAATAATTCCTCAAATACATATCAACATAAATTATATCAAAAACGAAGCTTAATTACGATAAACAGATCGAATCGGGTGATAAATCAGTGAAAACAGCTTACCGAGTTTGAATTTGGCGAAACGGACTTCGGATTCGGATTCAGGACGTCGAAAGCATAAAATATGACTTTTTGGAAATTTGGAATTTTTGGTCAAAATCAAAGTCAACGGTTTTGACCGGCAATTTTGAGGCCTTCGGGTTCGAATTTCGAAAAACGAACTGCAGAATCGGATTTGGAACGTCGAAAAATGTCAGGATAGATATACTCAGTCAAAGGTCGTTTAATGCCCGGTGAAATCCCGTCAAAGTTTAGTCAACTTTGGTCAACGGTCAACGGGTCGGGTCACCGAGTCAGGTCGGGTCGGGTAAACGGGCCGGGTCGGGTTGTAACAGATCAAACCGGTCACTTTTGCCTTCCCCACGCGCAGTGGCGGCGCGTGAACAGTACCCTAATGTCAGAAAATTCCCGTAAAAATTCCTAAAAATTATTTTAAGCGATTTCGAGATACTTACAAAGCTCGGTTCAAATTTTTGAACGGTGAAGAGCTCGATTTCAACGAATCGGAAACTTTGACCGCTTCACCTCCTCATGCGCCGCCGTCGACGGAGACCAAGGATGACACCGGCAGACTCAAAACGATGCAAGGAACACGATGGTGCGGGAGGTGTCGTAAACGGATGCTTAGATTGTCGTGAATCGATGTAAAACCAACTGAAATCGAGTTATTACCGATGATACTTCCGACTGAAATTAACGACGAACGACAACGATTCATGACGAAAGGTTTGAAGGGTTTTCTTCCTCGCTCGACAACGAACACGATGGTGGTTTAGACTCGTCGATCGGAGGTCGGACGACGAATAGATTGGAGTTGGAAGAAGGGTTGTTGGAGAAGAGGAAAATGATAATCTGCAGAAAAAACATACGGGAGGGGGGTTATAATTCATTCCAAAAGAAAAATGGGTAAACTATGAGTTTAGCCACTGAATTTCCTACACTTCTTAAAACGGTCTGTCAACTTTGAAATTTTATAATTTAATCCACCGTTTCTTTCAAAAATACCAATTAAATCCACCACTTTATAATTTCTTAAATTTAGCCCCTAAATTGGGGTGTTACACGATTGAAAACCTCTCCTTATCTCTAAGGTAGACAAGTTAGAATATCACAATCCGAATACATTCCATTGTTTACGTAGATCTATCTTAATTATCTCGAATCTAAGAATCAATATCTAGACAAACGACATTCTCTCAAAGCTCTTTTAGTGTCAAGACGTGTTTCACCTAGACCCAAGAAATCTCTCGAAGCTCTTATAATGTCAAGGCAAAATATTTAAATAATGAACAAAACAGACATGAGAAATATGATAATTCATCATTCATAAAATAGAAAATAATTGTTTAGGCAAAACAAAGATTAACACCAAGTAAAGCAGTTCATGGTGTTGTCAAAAAGTCAACCAAAATATCATCGTTTTAATACAACCCCAAACAAAGTAAAGAAATTAAGAACAAATGAAGAACGACTCCCAAAACCAGAGGCTCTGTCGTGACATCTCTGATCAACACCGCGCCTGCCCTGGCGGCCAGCCTCTCTCGAGGCCTAACCATCGCTTTGCTATAGCCTGACTATAGAGGACACCAAGGACGGTCGGTTGGAAAACGGTGGGGAAGCACTGCAGTTGCTCGCTCACGCTTTAGTTAAAGCTCTTCTTACTTCCTTACCCCCTTTTTGACGGCTGTGGCTGGGTATTTATAAAGGGAAATCTCCTAGGGTTTCGTGTAAGTGAAGATTCCCTAAATACCCATTATTTTCTTGTCCAGGCTAAAAAAGAAAAGGCGGCTGGTTGTTGTCAAAATCTTGAGGGCTTGCTTGCACGTGAGGGTAGTCGTACAGCTGGCATGTGACATAGACAATTCGTCATATCCACTTCAGACTTGCAAGATAAACCTTACCTTGGCGAGATAAATCTGCTCCTCACTGTCTTTATCTTCTCTATTCCACTGGCCCTTGCAAAATGTTTTGTTGCGACAGAAATGTTATTCCTTAGCTAATTTCATGCACATACACAATTCACACAAGCCCTTTCTCCTCGGCAGCATAAGTCAAACCAAATAAATATTGCCTAAACAACACTTATCGACCACAAACAAATATAACCTAAATGAAACTAAATGCAACTAATATGTTGTGCATACTTTGTTTAGACGATCAATAACTTAAGTAAAAAGACTATAAATAGAGTCTTTTTATGGAGTTATTAAAGAGAGAGCCTTCTCATCGGAGGATGAGCAAATCTCAATATTTCTTTTTCGAATTAAAGGATTTTCCCTAATAAATAATTCGGAACAAACTTCAATAAATGAATTATATTTTAACTTTATATTCGATTTATAATTTCCACCATTTGTGACAATATATAAGTGACTAAGTACCAATTTTGGGTGCTATGGGGATGTTTATCATTCCTCATGCGTAATCGACTTCTGAATCCTTAAAAATGAATTTTTGAATAACGCAGACTAATTTTTGTCTTAAAAACGATTTTTTTAAAATTGTTTTAAAAGATGTTTTTAGGTATTCGACTTACCTAACCCAAAGATTGATGGCGACCCCAAAGATTGATGGCGACTTCTTTTCAATTTAATCAAATTAACTCAAAATCTCAATTTTTTTTCAAAATAAAGTCATAATTGTTTTTTTTAAACTTAATTATTTAAAAAAATGATTATGACACTAATAACTTCTTTGTTCAGGCACCTGCGAACTATGAGGGTTTAAATTTCCAAATCCAAGCACTGCAGCAAAGTAAAATTAATCTTTCTTGGGATGGAGATGAACCACAACGTGGGAAGATTCTGAAACGAAAACTCAATGATGAACAGGTTAGTGTGCATAATTTGTTTGCGAGCTGCTTTCTAATGGTTCATCTGTTGTCTGTGAAATTCAGTCTAAGATGTATGTTTCCTGCTTTTTTAATACTCCTGTCTACTGCCTTGTTGGCCGAAATTCAATTAAGCATTTCACGTGAAGTACTATATTTTGTTCTTTTATTTGGTTTGTCGAAGTTAAGACTGCTGTTTTCATGTAGCTGGCTGACTTGGAGTTAAAGGAGTTTCTAGCTTCTGACGAGAGTGAAAGTGATGATGACGAGAACGAAGAGACCACCAAGGATCAATCTGATAAGAAAAATAAGAAAAGAGACTTATACCGCGCCTTACTTCAGTCTGGTGATGGATCCGATGGAGATGGTGAGGAGGATGGCCAAGAAATCGAAGTCACTTACAATACTGGCCTGGAGGATATAAGTAAGCGTATCCTGGAGAAGAAAGATAAGGAAGCAGAAACCGTTTGGGAGGCCTATCTAAGGAAAAGACGGGAGAAAAAGAAGTCTGATATGGAACCTACGGAAGAACCTGATGACTTTTTCATCGAAGAGCCATCACTTAAGAAGAGTACGAAAGGAAGGAAGCAAAATGAAGATATGGAGAAGGAGGCTGAAGCAAGCAGAGCAGAACTTGAGTTACTACTCACTGATGACAAAGGAACTGATACTGGTCCTAAGGGATACAATCTGAAGGCTAAAAAGACCAAGGGGAAAACGCAAAAAGAAGTTTTAGATGAGAAAAAGATACCAGTTGTCGATGATGATCCACGATTTTCTGCTTTCTTTACTTCACCTCTCTATGCTTTGGATCCCACCGACCCACAGTTCAAAAGGTAACAGCAAACTTAATTTAATTATGAAAAAACCACAATATGTATATATTTAAAAAATGATGTGAGATAAATAAGGTTTCACTGAGTCTCAAATCTGGATGAAAATTTTGTTTTTGTTTCTCTAGTTTGAAATATCATGTTGATTTACTTCCATTTTGAGAGCTTCCTTGTCTTCTATTTGGGTTGTTGGCTGGCTAAAAAGCACAAGTGTTGTTTGTTGTGGGAGTGCAACCTATGCTCGACAAATATCCAAAAAGCGGCAGAAGGGAGAGCAGGAAGAAATGGTTGGAGAGGACACTAAGATACCCACTGATGCTCCTGGGATGAACGAAGCTGAGCGTGAGAAGTGCGATATTTTACCATCAAAGGAGAAGCATAACCTGTGTTCGATGGTGAGATCGGTTAAGATGAAGTTAAAACAAGTTCAACTGCCCTCGGGTGGTAAAAAGAAGCAGCATCAGGTTCATTCAAAGAAGGCAAAGAATAAATGAAACAGAGGCGTGTGCTTCATCGGAATATAATTTATGGCAAGTGAATGTAATTTGTGTACATTTTTATGTCATGGATAGGAGGGGGAGTGTCATTTAACCATCGTTTGGAACTGGGAATTGATTAAAAGTTTTGATACTGTCGAAGGGAATTGTTTTAAAATTTAGATAAATGCAACTCAAATCAAACATGTTAAAGAAAAGGTTTTCATTAATGTTTTGAAATTTGGAAAAAAAATTATGAAATTAATATTTCTTTACTTTACATTAATTGATGAATTAATCGACAAGAATGTGTGTGTTTTCAACCAAATCCCATTTTTGGAAATGTAAAATTTATTTTATAATAAATTTGTTTTATTTTCTAGTACCAATGGAAGATTACTTAATATTTTTAATTTAATTTTACTTAATCACTTATATAATTTAACTATTTTTATATGTTAATCAATATCATTGTTATTAACCCAAAAAGTATACTGTAATCTAATTAGTATTCATTAATTCTTCTGTTTTTTGCAGGTGTCTACCTAAAGTATTTTTTCTAGTTTAATTTTTACAATGGATTTACAATTTTGTTTCAATTGTTTTTTTAATTTTCAAAAATTAAACAATTGAAGTTATTTAAAAAACGTAAATTTGCATGAATTATGTGACCTTAGTGGTTAAAAGATTCGTTGTTATCTTTTGAGGTCACATATTTGAGTACCATGAATGCTAAAGGTATAAAATTTCATTGTCAAATGATTGAGAGTATTTAAATCAATACTATATTGTACTTACTTCCTACATTATTTTGACGACAATCAAAAGGTTAAATCAATGTAATGTACAAATCTAAAGATTTAATTTTTTTTGATCAATTTGAGATAAATATAAGTTAACATTTATTTAAAGATTTCAATTATTTTGATAATGATTGTTTATATTTACATACGAAACACGAATTCGAAAAGTTAAGGGATAACAATAATTTGACTATTGAAATTACTTTGTTCGTGTAATTTAAAATTTTAATTAAATATTTTGTTAGGAAGGAATTTAATTGATTATTTCATACGAATTCCACTGCTAAAATAATCAATTTAAAATTTAGGGGATGGTTGAGAAAGCTAAGGTAAAATTAAGATTACGATAAACTATGTTTTTAGTATTTAAATTATTAGTTTTGATCATTTTAGTATCTAAACTTTTAATTTTTTTAAAAATCATATTTAATGTTTAATTTTTATTTTATTTCAGTACCCTGTCATTAAAAACTTAATATGTTTAGTACTTAAACTATCAATTTTGGTCCGTTTTAGTACCTAAACTTTTAATTTTTTTCAAAACTTAACGTTAAATTTTGAACGGGTACCAAAATGAAATAAAAATTAAATTTTAAGTATAGTTTTAAAAAAAATAAAAGTTTAAGTATTAAAACAAATCAAAACTGATAATTTAAGTACAAAATACATAATTTACCCTTAAACTTAACCCTTAATCAGTTTGTCTCATGAACAATTAACGAAATCAAACTGCACTTTCCCTATCATTTAGGGACGCGTGACTTGTGATAGTCATAGTCCCGTTCAAGTCTAACACCGAGCACGATTACTATTCCAAACCAAGAAATCGCCACGTATTGTACTCCGACCGGATGTCGAACTCACCCGCCTCCTCCAACGAAGGCGATAAGCACCCCGCTAACAGCAAGGAGGCGGCTGTAGCTAAAACCGCTGGCTTCGTAGTCTTCTCGGGAATCGCTATGAGCATCCTTAAAACCCTAAACCCCTTCAAAAAAGAGAGAGATGCGACTTCACCATCTCAACAGCCAGCGGTTGAGTCGATTCAGTCCTCTCCAATCCCAGATTCCCCACCTCCTCTTTTCCCAGAACCCACTATCACCAAGGTATTTCAGAACCCACATTTCTGTTGTTTTTAATATTTTTTAGTTTTCGAGTTTTGTTTTGATACAAGTTTATTCGAGGGTTAGTGTTTACTACTTTTTAGTTGTTTTTTTTTTGGTGTAGAAAGCAGGTGGTTTATACGGAGCAAAAACTGCCAGAATACTCGGAACGAGTGATAGATATTGTGAAATGAGATACTCTTTGGGGTCTGTCCAGAAAATATGGGGTATGGCCTTTTCTTGATCTTCAATTCTTATGATGGAATTTACTTGACGAACAATCACTTTGAATTTTCTTTCTTCTGTTATGCTTCCAATTTGGTGCTCTAAATACATTTATAATAGATTATAATTTTGATATCAAACTATGATCATTTTTTCTACTCCAAAAATTTGCTTTAAAGGGCTAAAATTTGAACCCAGACCAAGTTTTCAGTGAAACTATAGGTATATTTTTAGTTTATAATTTGAAAATTTGATACAACATTTATGTAATTCAGATGAGACTGAAAATTTTGTGATCTGGTTTCAGGTTCCAATAGATGCAATCAAAGAGGCTAATGGCCTTACAGGGGATACCATCTATGCTGGCAAGAAGCCCATAATTCCATAAAGATGTTTGTATCACCTCATATCAGTTCTTCAGTTTTCCTTTTCTCAGTAGGCTATTAGGTTTGTACTTTTGCAAGTACATTTGTCCATTTAATTAATAATATGAACATGAGTAGATGACATGAGACCTTAGATTCAAATAGAGGTATGCTTGTAAGCTGTTCACGGTACTTCCATTCTAAATATTGTCTATTTTACTACATTTATTGTATGTATGTTCTTATTGTTTAGGTTCTGAATCTGCTCCTTGGCTATACTTCTTTATGCGTTGTCATGTATGTACAACTAAATATGATAGCCCATTGCTTTTTCCACCCTTGGTAATGTGCTGAATTCTCACAGAGATTAGATAGCTATTAGGGATGCTAATTTCAAAGCAAAAATTAAAAGATAGCTTACTCTTACCTGTTATAGAATTTTAGAGTAATGCATTTTTTAACAAAAATAAGCTACTCGAATTCCGTAGTAATAACTCTCACTCAATCTGCTTTAGAACTTGTCTATACAGTGTACAGAACAGTTATTACTTGCTGAAACAAGAAATGCATAATGAAACCTTGATAGCTATGCTTCAGTTTATGACATGTTGCCTTGTTTCACCAGCTACGGTTTCTTGACATCCATGAAATTCTATGAACTGATAGATTAATAGGTTAAAACATCTGAAGAAATCTAATTTTTGACATGCTCTTCCATTTGAGAATTTCGCTTCATTTATGTAGGATTCTTGGCTATATAAAGAACTAATCTTTTTTCTATTATTTTTCATTTGGTGCATATGATGTACAATTGCGAGGGGAAGGGGGGGGGGGGTTAAACCTTCCACCTCTATCCTACGTAAGAGAAAAAAACAATAGTTATTTGTTCAATGTGCAAGGTTATGGTTTATTTGTGGTTCTTGATAGCATTATACTGTATAATAATAATATGAGGTATTTCTTAATCCATAAGTAACATTTATCGAATTTGTGTATTGACTTGTGTAGATAAAGCTCATAGATACAATTACGGGAATTTGTGTATTGACTTGTGTAGATAAAGCTCATAGATACAATTACGGGATCCTTGTACATCAAGGCTGTGCTTGGTCATCATATTGTCAAGACGATGTAACTTAGGTTCCCACAAGTAGAATCGGTTAAAAGCAACCTAGTTTTAGAGTTAATTAGTGTAGTTGGCCACCTATCATGATAATAATAATAATGTTGTCAAGTAGATGTGTTTGTGGGTCGGATTGATCAGATTTATGCATATAATTAACATATTTTATGTTTGTTCAAGTTTGATCTAACCAAAATATGAATTTAAAGTTTTGTCCAAGTATGTTATTAAAAACTTTGATTAGATGAGGAGTTTAGAAACTCACGAAGATAAAAGAAAATATAAGAAAAGGAAAGAATATCTGAGAGGGATGCGTCCCTTTTTCTCCTAATGATCATTTATATAGTAGTGATTTTCCCAATCAAATAAGAGAAGAGATAGAGTTTAAATTATAGATTACATCGTTTTGACTTATCATAATCTTATTACAAAATAGAAGTAGATTTTAAATCATAGATTACATCCTTTTGGTTTAACCTAATCCTAGTACAAAATAGAGATCGAGTTTCAATGGAAGTATGAATGTCATATGTCCTATATGCTCTTTAAGTGTCTAAACTTAATTAAAATCCTCAGTTTCTCATATTTTGACCTATAAAATAAAAAATCTAACAAAAAGATTGGCTTATAAATAATTTAGGTCACTAAAACATATGAGAATCAATACAAAATATATACAAATTTATGACTTATCATGCATGTAACATGATCTGGTGCTAATAAGTCACTCTTAGCCATTAGTAAAAAATTTCACCTTTCAGTGAAGTGAAACCAATTAAGATTGACAGAACAAAGTCTAACATGAATCAAATTTCTACATTTGTTGATGAAATAGTCGTTTGAGCTTGCGTTTGAGAGGTCGAAAATACGTGATTTAGACATTTTAGGGTTCAATAGTCATCCATAGGGAGTGATAATAGGGTATATTTGGTCCAGTTCAATTCGGTTTTTCAATCAAATATGAATTGAATTACACTTTGCGGGTTTTAAAAAAATGGGAACCGAAACCGAATGACATAAATACCATGATTTTCGGTTTGGTTTGGTTCAATTCGACGGTTTTTGGTTGTTCTCTATTTTTCAAGCTCAACCTCCAAAAAAGCAAATTTAGAACTTAAATTGAGTGCAAATATATAAATTTAAATTTATAAAAATATTATTAGTTTTATTTATTTAAATTTGTATTATAATAAATTCAAAATGAATGTGTTTTGGATACTTATTATCTTTTATTTTTAATTCAATTTGGTTCAATTCAAACGCTTTCCAAATGGAAAAACCAAAACCAAATTGAATTGCATATTTATTTTTTAAATTGAACTGGAAACAAACCACAAATTGAAAACCCCAAACTAAACTAAATTGAATAATTTAGTTCAGATTGGTTTTTCAATTTTCTCAATTTCGTTGCTCATCCCTAAGGGATAGTGATTGTGGTGAGCTACAGTCGATGGTAGGAAACTTTGATTGAATTCAGAAGTTAAATTAATATTTATTTAAAATTCAATAGTTAAGTGATATTTTATTTAAAGTTTAAGGGTCAAATTAGTATTTTATTTAAAGTTTAAGGTCATGATTAAATGTGAATCCTTTTATTAATATGTCACATCATCAAACTAATGATATTTAATATCCCAATGATCGAAACTGTAACCCCCTAGACCCAGCCTAGGAGTTACAACTTAATCAGTGTGACCATGTTTATCACTTATATGATCCACGAATGAAAAATTTTAAATAAGTTGTTGTAAAAATGTTTACCAAATATAAAATCAGAAATAAACTCATGCCACACTTTAAGAAGGTTGAAAAGTAAATGTTAAACCGCATACAATGTATAATCGAAACAATACTTCCGATAGCCAAACTAGTTCTATATCTGGATAATCTAAAAAAGAAAGACAGAAATATAGTGAGCTACAAGGCTCAATGTGTCCTCAAAAATTTAATCAGGTAACACCATAACGCAGAAAAAATTTCAAGTATAAAATAATAAACAAAATAATAATCGACCAATATTAAAATTTAGATATTTTACCAGCAGAATGTCCCAACAGAAATTCACAATCTTACATTTCGTTCTGAATCAACATCATATGCACATTACCTTACAAAGAGACATCGAAAACTGAATACCAAAATCAGAATGGGAATTTAACCTCATATGAGGATCCCAAACAGGGTTAGGATGGAGATATAATCTCATACAGATGTGAGAACGGGGAATTAATTCCATGTAGATGTCAGAATGGGGAATTAATTTCATGCAGATGTCATAACGGGGATTATGCCCTTCATAGAGAATCCCATACATATATCATAAATGCATTAACATGCAAATTAATGATGGTGTCACAGTATTCAGAAGTCAGATATGACACGTATATATATATATATATATAATTAGATCACAAACATGTTTACAGATAGTAACATATAACATAACACGATAAATATATCTAACAGGTCAATGAGACACACCTATAAGAGAAAAATGCATATCGGATTGGCCTTACGTTTCCCACGTTAGTAATACTAGGTCCTGCGAAATTGAAACCTAAAACAGTACTAGTCTATGAACACAAAATCCATAATTCTAAAAGATTATAAAGTCACTAAATAATATTTACACGTATCTCGAGACAAACATGCAGAATCAAACTGAACTAAGCGAGAACGATCAGGGTCAACTAATGAATTATATTGAGAAGCGTGATCAGCTTCGAAAATCAATATCAGAAAGTGAGTCCAAAATTCCATAATTTACTTAATTAAATCATGACTTTAAGCAATAAATGATGCAAAATAGGGCTTTTGGATCAGAATTTGGCCAAATGGACTGCGAAAACAGACTCAGAACGTCGAAAAATCTAAATATAGGTGGTTTTAGAAAAAAAATCAACGGTCAAAAGTCAAAGTCAACGGTCAATTGATCGGTCAAACGAGTTGGGTCAATGGGTCAGTAAAACGGGTTGGGTCAACGGGTCGGTCAACAGATTGATCAAAAGGATCAGTGACCGGCCTAGCCGGTTCGGTCCAAGGGGAGACTGGTTCAGTCAGTCCAAATTGTCAGACGAATCCCACATGAGCACGACGACACGTGGGAGCGTGTGGAGACTTTACGGTGGCTGGAAAAATACCAAAATTTATAGAAAAATAATTTCAACTATGGGGAATCACTTACCGAGGTTAGTTTGTGAAAAAGATAGATAGAGATGGGGGTTTTTAGCGTATCCCGAACATTCAAAACTTCATCGATTATAAACATTGATGGTAAATGGAAATCCAAGGACACTAGACGAACGGGGTTGACGAGACAAATATAATGATACCAAAGGTGTTGAACACCTTCTCTCGGTTAGTAACGAATCGAAAAAAAATCAAAAATGCTTTGTTGAGAGATAAAATAGAGAGAACCGACAAAGGTGTCCATTTTTTCAAAATATCAAATGGTAATCGTGAATGCAAGTTTTGGGTATTTAAACCCTAAATTTTATGGGTTAATTACAACCCAAAGCCCCATAGTTTTAAAGAGTTCCCAAATAGACTAGTAAACTTACCAACACTTCAAGTTAACCCAAATTTTGGGGTGTTACAACTCTCCCCCTATAAGAAAATTTTGACCTAGAAATTTTAGCTGATAGAAAAAGATGAGGAAACAACATCCTCACAGACACTAGAGGAGCTGAAATGACCAAATTGTCGGATGAATCTGACGTGCGCACGGCGACGCATGGGAGTGTATGAGGGACTTTACGGTGGCAAAAAATACCAAAATTTGAAGAAAAATAATTTCAACTATGGGGAATCACTTACCGGGTTAGTTTGCGAAAAAGATAGACGGAGATGGGGGTTTTAGCGAATCCCGAACATTCGAAACTTCACCGATTGCAAATAGTGATGGTGAATGGAAATCCAATGACACCAGATGAATGGGGTAGACGAGACAAACATAATGATACTGGAGGTGTTAAACAGCTCCCTTCGGTTAGCAACGAATCGAAGAAAAACCAAAAACATTTTGTTGAGAGAGAAAATAGAGAGATGATTAACTAAGGTGTCCGTTTTTTTTTCAAAATACCAAATGGTAAACATGAATGTAGGTTTTGGGTATTCAAAACCCAAAATTTATAGGTTAATTACAACCCAAAGCCCCATATTTTTAAAGAGTTCCCAAATAGACTAGTAAACTTACCAACACTTCAATTTAACCCAATTTTTTGGGGTGTTACAACTCTCCCCTTTAAGAAAATTTTGATCTAAAAATTTTAGTTGACAGAAAAAGATGAGGAAACAACATCCTCACAGACACTAGAGTCGCTGAAATGACCTTAAGAAACTATGATTACCCTATAGTATTTTAACTGTCGATATTCATATGATTCTCAGAACTTTATCCTCACATATAAGTATTTGAATATATTTTTTAACTGAAATCAGATCTTAGTTCAAGTCTTAACAAAAACAACATAATATGTTGGTAACAATTAATCACGAACACGCTCAAGCTCTAGCAGTATCTCATGACGTTATGCAATTAGTCCTGTTCATCACATAATCTGTCAAGGAGTAAACCTTAATCAACAATAAATGATCCCTCCAATCATATCAGAACACTATAATACAACATTTCAGCTTATCTTCCAGTATCTGAGTAATCCGTTCAACAACCCACAAGTTTGAGGATAATAAATGGTATTGAAATTTTAATCGCGGACACAAAGCCTTAGGAATAGTCTTTTGAATCGTTACATAAATCCCAGATCTCGGTCATTCACTATAGACATGGAAAACTCATCAAAATGAAATAATATTAAAAGTAAACAACCCAATTAGTTACCAGAAATATAACCGGTTCGAACCAGAATAAAATAAACAGACTTGTTGAGATGATCGATAAAGTACAGACTGAGTCTTACTTTGATAGAGTCAAAGGCAATCTACTAAGAAAGTCTATAGTTACTCATTCACAAATCCATTTTGAAGTTTGTATGAGTTGAAATAAAATTATTGTTTTCATACTTTCAGAGTAATTCCTGAAATTAACTCCCCTAGTGATAGTCTAAATCAATGTAATACAGATGTTATATCCTTTCGATTTTTAGAATATAGACAATACACGAGAAATTCTTATATCTAGTCTCATTCAGAATACTTCAGAACCTATACTCATGTTTTAGGACAATGAATATCACATACAGAGTTAATAATTCCTAAGGAAGATGAATAATAGTGTCGAAACACTTTTCCCAAGTCAAATTGAATTAAAACAATGCAAATATCATATTTATTAATCAAATGAGGAAAATATTAGTAGATAACAGAATTAATCTACAGAGGATTTAAAGGAATTCAAAATGGTTCATATCAAAATAATATTCCATTCTGGAATGTCAAACTTTACACAAATTTTTGGCAGAATAAAACTCGAACATAATATTACTTAAAAATCATTCTTGTACATAGGAAACCACAATGTGACAGAATATTCGAGACCATATAGCCAAAGTGGTCATATATATGGATAATATGAAAAAGGAAGACATAAAAGAGTGAGCTACAAGGCTCAATGTATCCTCTAAAATTTAATCAGGCAACACCGCAACGCAGAAAAAATTTCAAGTGTAAAATAATAATCGACCAATATTAAAATTTAGATAGTTTACCAGTAGAATATCCCAAAAAAATTCATAATCTTACATTTTGTTCTGAATCAACAACATATGCACATTACCTTACAAGGAGACATCGAAAACTGGATACCAAAATCAGAATGAGAATTTAGCCCTCATTTGAAGATCCTAAACAGAGTCAGGATGGATATATAATCTTATGCAGATGTCAGAATGGGGAATTAATCCCATGCAAATGTCAGAAACGACGAATTACTCTCATGCAGATGTCTGAACGGGGAGTTTATCCCATATAGATGTCAGAACAAGGAATTAATCCCATGCAGATGTCAGAGAAAAGAATTAATCCTATGTAGATGTCAGAGATAAGAATTAATCCCATGCATATGTCAGAACGAGGAATTCATCTCATACAGATGTTAGAACGGGGAATTAATCCTATGTAGATGTCAGAACAGGGATTATGCCCTCCACGGAGGATCCCATGCAGAAATCATAAATGCATCAACATGCAAATTAATGATGGTGTCACAATATTCAGAAGTCATATACATCGTGTGTATATATATATATATATATATATAATCAGATCACAAACATGTTTACAGATAACAACATATAACATAACATGTTAAATATATCAAATAGGTTAAGAGTTCACACCTATAAGAGAAAACTGCATATCGACCAAGCCTTATGTTTCCCACGTTAGTAGTACTAGGTCTTGTAGAATGAGAACCTAAAACAATACTAGTCTATGAACTCAGAATTCATAATTCTAAACGGTAAAAGACTATAACGTCATTAAATAATACTTACACATATCTCGAGACAAACATGCATAATCGAATTGAGCTGAGTGAGAACGGTCAGGGTCAATTGATGAGTGATGCTGAGAAGTGTGATCACCTTCGGAAATCAATATCAGAAAGTGAATCCATAATTCCATAATTTACTTAATTAAATCCTGACTTTAAGCAATAAATGATGCAAAACAGGGCTTTTGGGTCAGAATTTGGCCAAGCAAACTGCGAAAACAGACTCAGGACGTCGAAAAACATAAAGACAGATGGTTTATAAAAAAAATCAACAGTCAAAGTAAACGGTCAAAAGTTAAAGTTAACGTCAACAGATCGATTAAACGAGTCAATAGGTCATTGATCGGCCCAGCTGGTTCGGTCCAAGGGGTGACTAGTTCAGTCGGTCCAAATTGTCGAACGAATCCCACGCGCGCACGACAACCCATGGGGGACTTTACGGTGGCTGGAAAAATACCAAAATTTGCAACAACAAAAAAATTTCCAACTATAGGGATTTACTTATCGGGGTCAGTTTGTGGAAAAGATCGATGGAGATAGGGTTTTTAGTGAATCCTGAACATTCAAAACTTCACCGATTGGAAATGGTGATGGTGAACGAAAATCCAAGGACACAGGACGAACATGGTCGACGAGACAAACGCAATGATACTGAAGGTTTCAAACACCTCCCGGTTAGCAACGAATCGAAGAAAAACAAAAAAAACGTTTTGTTGAGAGAGAAAATAGAGTGAGAATCGACTAAGGTGCCTATTTTTTTTTTCAAAATACCGAATGGTAATCGTGAATGCATGTTTTGGTTCAAACCCTAAATTTATGGGTTAATTACAACCCAAAGCCCCATATTTTTAAAGAGTTCCCAATTTTTGGGTGTTACAGAAACATTATAAAATTATAACGTAAGTGACCAAAATGTTAGTTTTTTGAAATTTGACGATCAAAAGTAAACACTTATAAAACAAAAGGGACCAATTCAATAAATGATCCTATATTCAATTATGTGACTTTCCAAGTACACTGATCGAAATTGGTTTCTGTTTATTTTTCCCGTAAGCTCCACCGATTGCAAAATCTAAAAGGTTGCTCACTTTATCATGGTAATTAAATGGTTATGAGGGTCCTAAACAAGGGCAAAATTAATAGTATGACGATATTAGAATCCTATTAAGCACTTAATAGACGAGTGTCAAGTGAAAGAATAATTTCAATAGTATTAATTTTAACTTCGAAATATTTTATAGTTAGATTGTCAAAATGAAAAACACATTAATAGTTGGAGATGTTAATTTATTAATTATATATTTTTGAGGACCTAGAAACAGATATTAATATTAACTTGAGAGATATTACATACATTTCCTATAGATATCATTGATCAAAATGAAAAACACATTAATAGTTGGAGATGTTAGATAGTTATTATCAATTAATAATTGATAATAATACTTAAATTATTATATTTAACTTAAATTTTAAATTAAATATTTTAAATATTTAAATATAATAAATAATTATTTATTATTAAATTATAAATAATTCTTTAATAAATTATAAATAATACTTTAAATCTTTCAATATCATTTAATTTAAATATTATTTAAATAATAATATATAATTAATATATATTATAAGAATTATATAATAATAAAATATATAATATTATTCTTAATAATATCTTACTGATATTATATATCTTAATAATACTATATAGACTTAATAATACTATATAGAAATATAGATTTATTTATATAGAAATATAGATTTATAAATATTATTAATTTATATTAATTAATAATAATAAAAAATATTATAAATTAATAATTGATAATTATAAGGTAATATATATTCAATTATTTTTAATCAATTGATAATACATATATTTTCTACATATATCATTGTTCAAAATAAAGACATCTAAAAAGATTAATATTTCATTTAATCACTGAAATCATTTGATGTTGTGTTTAGCTTTTTTTATTTAATCAACAAAATCGAAAAAAATACAATCCTAACCTATTAATTTTATAGTTTTTGAGGGACCTCAAATATAAATACAAAATTAATAATCACACCCTCTCTCTAAATAAGTTATAAATGCATTTTCCACGACGAGCGTCGGCCTTCCAAGGAGAGAGGAGTGTGTAGCTAGAGAGAGAAAAACGTGAGAACTTTCTCTTTCCCTTCCAATAAAATTCAAAACTAAACCAAAAAAATCTACGGGAAAAAAAAACTGCGACCGCTAAGCTTAATACATTCCCTGTAAGATTTATCAATCTTTAGATTTCTCTTTGGCGTTTTCAACTGATTTTCTTTTGCATGCCAAAGTTTTTTTATTACTATTTATTTATTTTTGCTGTGGCGGGAACCTGAGCTTTTGTTCTACTATGGCCGATTTTGTTGTTTTTTTTTCTTTGATATATATGTTTTTTATTTGATTGAGGATTTCATCTGTTTTTATGCTCATATTTTTGCAGGAAACATTGCTTGGTAAGTAACCTCTTTGTTCGTGTTTGTGTCTATTGAATGCTTTTAGCTTTTATTTATTTAAAAGAACGAAAATAAGCATTTTAGGGTTTCATGCTTTTACTTCTGGGCGATATTGTTATTTCCTCAAATGGGTCTTTCTGGATTCTGATTTTTGAAGAAATTTATGAAGGGACGCTGGGATTTCAAGTATTCAACGATGTTTTGGGTTTTTAATTAAAAAAGGAGCAATGCTATTGTACATTTTCTCGGTCCATCACCACACTGCATTGCGCTTGCAGTTTCAATCAATAATATTTGCTTATTATAGAAAATGCTATTGTACATATTTTTCTGTCGTTAATATATAAAACTCTGATTCACAGCATTTTCTTCTTAATCTTTTGTTTTGTATTGTTTGATTGGGAGCAGAATTGCTTAAGCCCTGTCATTTAATCATTTCAATCCAATAACATATATATGACCACAATTCTGATATCACGTGTGTTTTGTATGGTAAATTGTTTTATCTAGAGGCTAAATGATATTGTCATGGAGAAAACTGAAATCTTGTTGAGTGTCACTTTTTCTGTCTTATGCTTATTTAGTTGACTTTGGTTGCAGACACAGAATTATCTCTTGTTCTGTGTTCTTGGTGCATTGGTCAGAGGAAGCAGCTTGGGAAATGCCTATCTTCAAGAGGAAGCCTTTTGGTTTAGCAAAACCACCAGAAGATTTGGAATCCTCTGAGCTTGTATACCAAGTTCGTTTCACCAAAGAGATTTTTCGAGATTATCAGTATCCTCAGTTGAAGTACTCCAAAGTACTTATATTCATTTTTTTCCTTTGGTTTTTATAGTATCCTCTTTTTGGTTCTTGCAAAACTAATTGCAGTTTAAGGTATTTGAATCTTCCTTCCTTTACCCAGAGAATAAATAAAAGTATATATCATGCTTTCTTGGATTTGTGTTATTGAATTTATTATGTTTTCTAACCCCTGATCACTCCAATTCATATTTGCTCAGTAAAGACTGGACTCTTTCCTAATGACCAGAAGCAAATGCTTTATTTCATTCTCAAAATTTTTGCCCTTTCCAAGCTAGTCATACTTGACAAGAGGTGGTGTTACACATTTATTTTCCTCAACATAGATCAGAGAGTATCTGAACCGGATTAATTTATATCGTGAGAGAGTTTGGATGTGTAAGTCTACTGGAAAATCTAACTTGACTTATGAAGAGGCCTTGGTGTCGGAAAAACATGCAATTCAAAAGGTTCAACAGCTACCCAATGAGCTAGTGGCACCTGCATTGCGAATTATACAATATAGTAAGAATCATTTAGCCACTTTACCAGTTAAAGCTGTAGTAGTTATTCTTATTCCTTTTACACAACATTTTTGGTTTGTACTTTGATGTTACTAATTTCAGCGGATAATTTATAATAAGAAATATTTGATTTACCCCTGAAAAAAGAGATATTCTTGGGTCAGATCTAAATCTTGAACTATTTTATCTTATGTGGTTTATGCCATAATTGGATTGTAGTTGTAGGTATAGCTGATTAAAGTCATGAGTCCCTTAGTGCACTGGTGGAACTGGGTTTAATATTCATTGATAACAGTAATTCACTTGCAATCTTGTACAGCAGTTGTTGTATCCTTCACTGAAAAGCACCTTTTATGGATTTTGTTTCTGGGAAATATTGTATAGAGAAATTTTAGCAGTTGCATATAATTGTATTACTGGTAAGGTCTGGGAATTTTTGATAAAGTGTACTTTTTAGAATCTTTCTCGTTATCGCCTAGTTGTTGACTTCCTTAAAAGTATGATCTGGAGGATGGTTTATGACTCTTAACTTTGAGAAATTAGAAAATAGCAATCAGATTATTGGTGCTTTTACTTGATATATTTGTGTATGCACAGTTGTGCTGTTTGTTTTTGTTGTCTGACTAAAAGATGTATCGGTTCGATATTGTATGCCTAGGAGCAGTTTTCAGAGTTGTGTAGAGATTAATATTATTTGTGGGATAGTTTTACGTCTTGTTTCATAGAAGGTAGAAAAGAGAAGAACAGAAGTAAGAAAGGATTTTCTAATGGCTGGAAAATGATTATTTTGCTAAAATTGCATCATTCATAAATGGTACTAGATAAGATAACTGAGCTGCTATAATTTCAGCTAAAGTGAACGGATGACTGCACTGATCTTTAACTAGTGTAATGTGTGTGTGTGTTTTGAAAGAGTAAGTATCCTGATATAATAGTGATAAGATATAAGGTGTTTTGGTTGCTCTAATTCTAGCAGTTTGTGGAAGTTTGAACTAAGCACTAGATTATTAGGAGTTATCAAAACCGTTGGTGAGATGTGCTATAACTAAACTATTCTTTTGCCTTATACAAGAATCTGATAAATGAAAGCTGCAATAAATTTATGGTAATGGATTTTTCTTGATTCATGCCCTTACACATGATCTATAGATATATTTCCTATGTATGATTAAGTTGATTGTTGCATGATACTTTGTATGTGTTACAATCATCATAAAAGTAAATTTAGTTGCAGAGGTATGTAAGTGACTGGTGCTAGTGGTAATCTCGAAATTGTGGTTTATGTGATGAATGATTAGGGGATCTTACCTTAGATTTTTAGGGGAAACAGAAAAATATTCATCTGCTGTTTGAAAGGGGGAAAATAAATAAAGAAAGAGTGAGAAAGAAAAGAAGACAACTTTGCGCATAGCCTTTGCGAAACTCTCTTAGTTTTCCAAATTTAGTTGCAGAGGTATGTGAGTGACTGGTGCTAATAGTAATCTCGAAATTGTGGTTTATGTGATGAATTATTAGGGGATCTTACCTTTAGATTGTTAGGGGAAACAGAAAAATATTCATCTGCTGTTTGAAAGGGGGAAAATAAATAAAGAGTGAAAGAAAGAAAAGAAGACAACTTTGTGCATAGCCTTTGCGAAACTCTCTTAGTTTTCCAAATTTAGTTGCAGAGGTATGTGAGTGACTGGTGCTAATAGTAATCTTGAAATTGTGGTTTATGTGATGAATGATTAGGGGATCTTACCTTTAGATTGTTAGGGGAAACAGAAAAAAATATTCATCTGCTGTTTGAAAGGGGGAAAATAAATAAAGAAAAAATGAAAGAAAGAAAAGAAGACAACTTTGTGCATAGCCTTTGCGAAACTCTCTTAGTTTTCCAAATCTAGTTGCAGAGGTATGTGAGTGACTGGTGCTAATAATAATCTCGAAATTGTGGTTTATGTGATGAATGATTAGGGGATCTTACCTTTAGATTGTTAGGGGAAACAGAAAAATATTCATCTGCTGTTTGAAAGGGGGAAAATAAATAAAGAAAGAGTGAAAGAAAGAGTGAAAGAAAGAAAAGAAGACAACTTTGTTCATAGCCTTTGCGAAACCCATTTAGTTTTCCAAAATTGTGCTTCAGTTTGTATTTATTTTTGGAGTTTTAGTATTTTCAGTTGTTTTTCTTGTTCATTCTAACTTCTATTTTTTGCTTAATCTGATTCTTTTCGCAACTCTTGTGCAACTCTGTCAAATAACCTGCTGCCTTTTTCGCAGGTATGCTGTCACTGAGAGATCTTGCTGATCTAATATCCAAAAAGTTGCAGAAAGATCTGTTTGTGGGTGCTGAATTGCATGGAAAGAAGGATGGTGACCTATACCCTTGCAGAGTGTTAAAAATTGTGGAGAATAATAGTGGCAAAATACAATATGAGGTAGCATTGCTTGGAAAAGATAAGAAAATAACAGAAAACATAATATTACATGGAGATGATCTGGTGTGGAAGAAAACACCCTTCAGCAGAAATATTTTGAAGTCTTTTATTAGGGAGTCGACATGCCGAAGTATTCCTTGGGCGATCCATGAAAAACTGGCACAGAAACATGGTATATCAACAGACCCTCCAGAGGAGTTGCGAAGCAGATTTTTCTTTCAAGATGGACAGCTGGTTAACAAAACAAAGAAAAGGAAAAATGAAAATAGAAATAATGTTGGGGTAATCATACATGTTTATGGTACTCAGTTTAGGATCTTTATTTTATAATATGTTGTTTTGTCTCATAATTTCTCATGAACAGGAAGCAAATGGAGATTCTGGGAAATCCAAAAGGAAGAAAGGAGAAACTGGAAACCCTGATGCTGGTAAGGAGCAAGTTGAAAATCAATTTCTTTTCTACGTGTCTTGTATTTGTTTGGGGAGATTATTGCCTGGCAGTTTTAAGGTTTTGTTTTTTCTTTATCCTTTCAGACCTTTCCTCCTTCCTTGGTTTTGTTTGTTGTCTATTTGTGTGTGTTTTACTATTTATTTTTTGGGGAGTGGGGGAAGGTTATGCCATTTTTCCGTATGCAATGCTACATCACTGTTTTTAATTTTTCACTTATTCTGATTATTCCAACTTTAATTCACAGAAAGTAATCAGCCTGAGGAAGAACCTATCAAATATCCAATTGATGACCTGCTGGTGAAGCCTGGTCCTGATGATCCACAATTTACTGATCGACCCTCTCTCTCAAGGGATTTCAATGTTCCAATGGATTGCGTTGGGGATCTTTTGATGGCTTGGGATTTTTGTTCTTCATTTAGTCGGGTGCTCAATTTATGGCCATTCTCTCTTGAAGATTTTGAAAATGCCATCTGTCACAAGGATAGTAATTTGGTTCTCGTTGTGGAAACACATTCAGCTCTACTTCGATTACTCATAAAAGATGGTGGTGAATATTCATTTACTTTACAGAAGAAAAAGCGAAAGCCGAAGGTCAGAATATTGTTGAAATTTACATTTAATACTGTCTAGATGAACTTTTTTCGTTTTCTGCATGAAAATCTCTTTATTTCCCTCCCATGTGAAACCTCCCTTGCTCATGCTTTGTCTTTTGACTGTTTTTGTTTCAGATTTCACTCGTCACTTGGACTGAGTATATCTGTGATTTCTTGGAAATGATCAACATCACTGAATTATGTTCTTATGTGAGCACTATAAAGAGGGGCCATTACGGGCTTTTGGAGGCTAATTCCAAGTTAGCAATTTTGTGTGAATTGGTTTGTCATGCCCTTAGAACTGATGCTATTAGAGGGAAGTTGGATGAGCTCATTGAGCAGCGGCAGGCACTTGGAGCCACAATAAGAGGGGAATCTTTGGAATATGCTAGAAAGAAACGAGAAGAAAAAGAACAGTTGAAAAACGAGCCTGATGCATTAGTAAAGGAAAATAGTATGGAAAGCACAGGAAGCAATCCTCAAATTGCAGAAAATGGAGATCAGACTGCAGAGCTGGAGGAGGGGGTTATTTCATCTAGACAAAGCAATGCATTTCATAATAGGTACGGGCTGCTTATTTTTTAGGCATAAAGATTGTTACAGAGATTTGCTTGATGCATTTGCCGTTTGTTTTTGATTTATTTAAGGAAAAAGTAAGAGCTTAGTAAAAACACCAATCAAATGGAGCCAGGGGTTCACGCACCCTAGTTGTGTTGTTTCTTCTTTGTACAGCAGGAAACAATTAAACGGGCAATTGAAGAAAGCAGAGAAGCAAAATGTGGATCCAAAAGCCGAAACAGAAAATACGACGAACTCAAATGAGAAGGAAGCACAGAAGCAGCTAAATGGTGAAAAAAAGGAAGATCAGGAGAAGAAGAGTAAAGAAAAGAGGGAACAGAGGGTTCAGTCTTATCTCCTTGCTCTCTAATCTTATGTGATGTTTGTGTATATTTTGCTTTGCTCTTGTTTCATTAACATTATTTGTACAACAGAAGGAATACTTTCAACGCGAGATTGAGAAACGAAACATTCGTACTAATCCCTTGGGTAAAGACAGAGACTACAACAGATTTTGGTGGTTTAGGCGAGATGGGAGGATATTCATCGAGAGTTGTGATTCAAAGCAGTGGGGCTATTATAGTGCCAAGGAAGAGGTATGTTCCATTTATAGTTTTAATTCTTCTGTTGAAAAGATTTAACCAAAGCTTGACGGACAGGTTGATCTACTTATAAGTTCACTGAATCCCAAGGGAGAGAGGGAGAAAGCTCTTCAAAAGCAGCTGGAAAAATTATATGACAAGATCAGGTGAGAGTGTCATCTAGTTTTTCCTTTGTAGTACAAATGGAGCTGTTTTCCTTCTCTAATAAATAGGGTTTTGACATTTGCAGCGTGGAATTGCAAAAAAGATCGAAGGACTTGGCTCAGAAGATTGCGTTGGAAGAGGCGGTGCTGCGGAGATCGACTCGTGTTCGAGCACCACCTCGGGAAAATCCTGCAAATGCATTCCTCAAGTATATGAACAAGTGGAAAGAAGACTAGGAAAAACTTCTTGTGAGGTCGATAACTATAAGTCGGTGCCTGTTTGAAGTGGTAGTTAGCATGAGATTAACATTGTGTTGGAAGAAGAGGAACTGGGATGGTGCCTTTTTTTGGTTGTTAAATCCATTCCTCTTTTATTTACAAAGCCGCCAACCCCTAAATCTCATTCTTTTTATCGCTTTTGTTAACCAGCCTTTACAAATTTCTGGGATTCGAATCATAACACACTTCTCTGTTACATGCATTGATTATTTTTATTTTCTTGAAAATAAATCTATATATAATATTAAAATTATTAATATTAATATCAAACACAAATTTTAACTTAAATATTGTTTCTCAACCATAAAATAAATATTTAGCTTGCTTAAATTGAATTTTGACCGATCAATGGTCAACTCTGACCAAAGTCAACGGGTTGGGTCAAAGGTTTGGGTCGAGTTAACCGTTCAGGTCGGGCAGACGGGTCTGACCTGTTCCAGAAATTTCTTGGACGGACCGGAGACTCCCACGCGCACTGTCGGTGCGTGCGGCAGCGTTTGGAACTATTTCTATTGGACGATCACTCCCAACACAACCATGAATTCATTTACACCCAAAACCAATCCAATATCACACTTAAACCATACCAAACTCACGTACAAATCAATCGGAACTTACCCAAACGACGGACCAACGATGGCACGTCCACGGTGAACAAAATCGATCAGGTTTCAAGCACGATGTCGGTGAGTCCAATGGTGCAGGCAGTGAGGCGAGACAACGCCAGTGGCAGCCGGAATAATCAAAAATGAGTGGGGGGTTTCGACAGACTTTCCCGATGTGATTTACAGCGAATGACGCCGATTCAGAACATGCTAGAGGTCGGGTTTTGATTAACGTTCAATGCTGAGTCTATAGGTGGTGTCGGAGCGACAAATGGTGGTCGGACGGTGACGGAATGTGGTGGAAAAAGAGGGTCGATGGGGAGATGGATTTGGGGTTAATTTTTGGGGGAAAATCAGATTGATTAGGGAAAAGGGTTTAATTTTTTACTGATAATAAAAATGGATAAATTCAGGTTCTAATCCCTAAACTTCCTATTATTCATACTTTAACCTCTAAATTTCTAAAAATTATCAATTTAATCATGTAATTGAATTTAAAAATGATTTTAACGTCTTAATTAAAATTGGGGTGTGACAATTCTCCCCTTCTTAAAATAATTTCATCTTCGAAATTCATTCAGGTCACAGAAATTCAGAAATGAAGTTTCCATCAGTTCTTCCATATCTTCACGTAGTTTTTACAAAAGTACAGGTCCTTTACTAATCCTTAACCAGCTGAGTATACATTTCCATTAGAACTCTACCTCATTCCAATTAAAGAATCATAACAAAATTATCCTCGTGGAATCAATTCGACTTTGGCTATAAGGTTAGGGTCACAGAGCGGTAACATCTCCCAATTTCATTTCTGGAGTCGGGTCAGAATTTATCGGATAAGAACTCTCACATTACTCGTGAGGTACTTTACATAATTAAGACAAACTTTACTGGTATTCCTTTATGCATAGGTCGAGTCCTATCAGATAGGAAACGTAAGTCAGCTCGTTATAGAGAAGAGCTCGACTTTGGAGTACCGACTTAGAGAAGTAAGGTTGTAGTCTAGGGGCATGTACTGACCAGACATCTTTTGACATTCGATCGGCCGGTCTATCTACAAAAATTTGACTCAACCTAGGCTCTGATACCACTAAATGTAACCCCTTCAGATCGATACAGGTGGCCCGATCCTATCTGGGTGTCACATTAGGGCCATCGGAGCGACCCATTGTAAAATTCTCATAAAAATTAAATTTTTTTGTTCAAACGTGTAAAATCATAAAATATTTATAAACATAAAAGTAAAATTTAACATTATTAAAAAAATAAAACAGATTTCAGACTCGGATATAAAATCAAACTACAAGGTACATGCCAGCTAATCACATACACCGTACTCCGCAAGCAATGCAGGTGGAACTCCCATACTGATGTCAAAAGCTACATTGGTTTGATTCTTTCAACCTGAAATAGTGAGTAGCAGGGTGAGCTTTGAAAAGCTCAGTAATACAAAACTACCACATGATGCTACAGGACATACATATAAGAGATAAGTATTTATTTCCTTATTGATTCGGACATATACAGATTCTTATGCTGAGCTAAGGTCTTAGTGATATCTCAAGTAGTAACAAACAATAAGCAATCAGTTCAGAGAGAAATATTTCGAATGTCTGAGTTCAGGAGATCAGAATAGATTGTCTAGTGTGTTCCCGCAAAACCAGTGAAAATGTACATATCTTTTTTTTAAACAGTAGCAGTTTAAAACTTATTTTACAAAAGCCATAGTAAGACCCTCCATCCAAACACCAATATGCAGTTCCCCAGAACTGCATCCATAAGGATTTACCCTAGGCCCCAATTAGCATAGATGTTAACCTAAGGGAGCACCTTTGGTCCATAATGTCTTACCCTAGCCGAAAAGTAGGTGCCAACCTGAGGGAAGTTCCCTCAGAGCCATAAAGTCTTACCCAAAAGCACATAGCAGTGGTTTCATCCCTAAAGAAGTGCCTTAGGGTCCATAAGGTCTTACCACTAGGCCCAGGAGCGCACAAGAGTCACCTTAGGTCCATAAGGAATTACTAGTCGGTGCTGAACCTATACAAGGAATTACCAACAGCGACTGAACCTGCCAGAGATAGGAATTACCAGTCGGTGGTGAACCTATACAAGGAATTACCAACAGCGACTGAACCTATTAGAGCCTTCATACTAGATCCCAGAGTACCCCAAATAATAACATTTTCAGTCAATAACCAGAGATAGTAGAAATCAAAGCAGAGATCAGAACAAAAATTAGAGAAAACATCCATGTGATCAGGGAACACACTAGAGGTTCCATATATTATTCGTAGGTACAAGATAATATTATCGGCAAAAAAATACGGATCTTCAGTATACTGATAGATTGCCAGAATTTAGGATCACTATCGAAAGAGTTCATTAGCTGACAGGATCATCAGTTATTCAGAATGTGATTTATCAGGATCATATAGTATTCATATATTTTTTGGATGCACTAAGTATTCAGAAGGGTATTTATAATCATTTACATCTGAGTTACTTGTGTTTTCAGATATGACCAGAGTGATTCCATTATTCAGGAAATCAGAAACATTTTGGGTATCAGGTTCCTGGAAAATTCTTAGTGATTTAAGCTGATATGGAAGAAATGAAGATTCAGGGCATTTACGATTTGTGTCCATCTATCAGAATATCGAGTTAACTCGAGCTGAACAACTCCCATCACTAATGCATATCAACCAGTCAATTTGTTGCATTTTCAGGGTAGTCACTCTTTAATACCAACAACTCTTGTCCATAGATTATCTTCAGAATCATTGTTGAATAGATCTTAAGGAGACTAACAAATATTCTATTGGTCTTTATTTCATTTCTACCTCGGTCACTTCGGAGTTTCCTGAGTAATTCTATCGTTTCGAAAATTTGAATGCATACAAACTTCCATTTCGTTTAATTTGATCATATAATATAATCATATTGGTATACAAGGTTTATTTGTTCATTTCAAAGTTGATAGTATTAGTTATTCTAGGGCTTGGACGTGATTCAAATCATATTACACTTTAAGGGTATTATCGTCATTTTATTCAATTCTGTCATTGGCATTACTTCAGGTAACTTAGGCTTGAAAGTATTCTAGTTCCAATAAAGTTTAGAGAACTTTGCTCATTTGCTCACTGGGGGATAATTTGTACAAGGTCATTTTCGTAATTTTATCACATGGTGTTATTTTTGGTAATTTTATTCCAAATATTTCCAACATTTAACCCTTAATGAGATTAATTAGAATTTTTGAGTCATCTGAGGCTTTTACAGTATTCTGTCTTTATTCCAAATTTAATTTGAGTGCAATGATAATTAACTACATCTCATAGACCAATTATATACATTCATGCATGTACTAATTATCAATGGGTTCTGAAAAGCATACAAGGGGTAGTAGAGTATTATCTCGATTTTCGTGCCATATCAATAGACCCTTTAAACTCCATTCGATCACTCTCGAACTTGAATCCAACGTCTAATAATTCTTCGGATACAAAGTAAACAAATTTACGTAGAAACTAAACTTAAATGAGAAACCAACTTGAATATGAAGATAAAACCTTGAAAAATGGCTTATTGGGTGCGAATTTGGCAAAACAAACTTCAAAATCAGCTCAGGATGTCTAAAAACTAAATTATAGCTTTCCAAAAAATTTAATTTTTTTTGTCAAATTCAACGGTTGACCGATTAAAGTCAACGGTCACCTCTGACCAAAGTCAACAAGTCGGGTCAAAGTTAACGATTCGGGTTGGGCATACGGGTCGATTCTGCTTGGACCAGTTCGGGTCTATCCAGACCAGCTGAACTTGTTCCTTAAATTTCTTGGAACGGCCGGAGACCCAACGCGCACTGTCGGCGCATGGCGGTGGAATCCTAGACCATTTCCACCGGCCGATCACTCCCAACACAAATAGGAATTCATTTACACCCAAAACCAATCCAATATCACACTTAAACCATACCAAACTCACCCACAAACCGATCGGAACTTACCCAAACGACGGACCGACGACGGCGCATCCACGTTGAACAAAACCGGTCGGGTTTTGAGCGCACGACGTCAATAAGTTCAATGGTGCATGCAGTGAGGCGAGAAAATGCCGGTGGTGGCCAGAATCGTCGAAAATGAGCAGCGACCAGGGGGTTTTCGACGGAATTTCCTAGCGTGATTTACAACGAAAAGCACTTATTCAGAACGGGCTAGGGGTCGGGTTTTTATCACTGTTTGACGATGAGTCTATAGATGGCGTCAGAGCGACAAACAGTGGTCGGACAGCAACGGAATGTGGTGGCAAAGGAGGGTCGATAGGGAGATAGATTTGGAGTTAATTTTTGGGGAAAAACCAGACTAATCGGGGAAGGGGGTTTAAATTTTTATTGATAATAAAAATGGGTAAATTCAAGTTCTAATCCCTAAAGTCCCTATTATTCACACTTTAACCCCTAAATTTCCAAAAATTATCAATCTCATCCTATAATTGAATTAAAAAAATGATTTTAACTTCTCATTTAAAATCGGGGTGTGACAAAAAATCATAGTCAAC